GCGAACTTGTACCTCTATACTTAGTCTTTTGATGTATATAACCTAAATTACTGTTCTGAACGAGACAACAGACAGAGAATGTTTTATTTAAAAACGTCACAAAACCTTCTCGCTACCTTAAGGCAATCAGGCTTGTAGTTTCCAAGAAGCTATGAAAAAGTCGACAACGGAGCTGAACATAAATGTTGACAACCCATAAGCTTTATTTATTGCGTACAATGGATGCAACTATTTTTTCTGAAACCATTTTGTTCGTCGACAAAATATCGTTATGTTCTAAAAATTGTGAAACCTTGAAATTAAGTAGCAAGCTATATAATTTATAAATAGTTGATACCGGTATACCTATATACTTAGTTAAGATGAACAAGTCTGTCAATAGTATTGTCTTTAAAAATGGGACAAATTAAGCTCTTTATCATATACATTTCCCTGAACCAAAACATAACTGGAAAAAGTGTGTCAAGAATACAATCGACTGTCTAGTTTTCGAGACGTCATACAGAATTTTGTCAACACCGGCAGATTTTCTATTCTTTGCCTTGAAAATACCCTTAATTTCATGCTTTGTTTAAATCATACTCATATACTGTGAAATACTTTATTTCAGCTGAAATTAATTTTCGCTGAAAAGACTTTTTGTGTGGATTTTATTTTCACTGATTTTTGACAAGTTGAATGTAAATTATAGAAAAAAAAAGTATATTCGCTGGATTTCATTTTCACTGAATCATTCCTTCAGTGAAAATAGCGAAAATAAATTCCAAGCGAAAATAAAGTATTGTACAGTATATTATATTATAATACCAATGCTCACACCTGTAATAGAATGCATAGCAATGGACATCTTCTCATCCAATACAACCAAAATGTGCATCTACTCAATTTCCAATTTCCAATTAAAAGTTTTCTGACAATTGATTAACCTTTGCATTGTACTTGTTATTATATCATAATTTAACTTATGGACCTTGTTGTCAATTGTCTGTTCAATAGTTTCCTGACCCTTATATAACTCTTTCAAAATTGCCTTGACCTCATCGCCATTATCTAGTTAACCCATTTCAAAGTTCTTTGAGTTAGGCCTCAAGCATTTTTCTCTTCAATAGACAGGGTATATTCACTGGTAGCAACACTGATAGAAAGTTCTTACTTAGACAGAAACTTAAAATGTACTTGTATAAATGCAGGAGATTCAAATCAACTACCATATATGGCACATTATAAATAAAATGCAAA